TGTAGGTATATAGAGGAAGTATCACGAAAGTAGGACTGGATATGCAATGCGGCAATGCAGAGACAAATTGATGAGCGCCGAAGTGAGATTTTTATGCGTATTTGTAGTTGTTATTGATATTATGCAGAATGAGGTCGATCAAAAGGATAGGCAATTGTATAGAGCTAAGAGAGACACTAAAAAAGCGATGATGAAAAGGGAAAGGGCTGAAGTGGCGTTGAAGGTCGTGGAGGTGATAAGGTTTCTGGGAGGGATTTTTTGATGGAGAAATTGGGAAAATTTTCTGAAATTTTCGTGGGGTGCCTTTAATACACTGGAGTTTCACCACCCTAGTGATATGAAAAACACTAGTGACAAATATATATTTCACGACTATTTTACTGTATATCACCGCGTTTTTCACAGAGTATTACGCCACTTCACATGAAATTCCATTATAATATACATACTGTAAACCCATTCATTGGCGATGTAAAATCTCCATAAACGTCATGAAGGAATATGGTAGATTTGAAATGAACGATTGCTTTATTGCGACGCGAATCGGACTGAAGAGGAAGTGAAGGAGTTGTCTTCCATTATGGATCTGCAATAGGGGTTGTCATTGAAGTGGTTAACTTTTCGGGGGATTTTCTAGTTGAAAAAAGGGTAGAAAGAACACATGTGTCCTTCTTGCGGTCGCCCCTTTCTGAGATCGATCAGTTGCGCAGGAGCAACTTGTCTGTTCGGGTTTTCGAGTGTATATAAAAAATATTAGCAGTAAAATCGAAATACTGGAGTTTCACCCGTGATGAGAAAAAGCGAATATCACGTTTTTCACGTGGATTATTACGCCACTTCGCGTAAAACGGTTGGAACTCCATTGATTGCGATATTATAAACGGAGTTTTAGGAGGATATGAAAGAAGTTGTTGAAGTTGCGGAGAAGTTGGCAAAAGAATCGGAGGCTCAGGAATCGTTACTAGTAGAAGTTAAAACTGAAGTGGAAGTATTTATGGCGGCTTTTATGAAGCAGGAGTCGATTGATCATCATAAGAGTATAAGAGATCAGCACTGGAATTGATGGGAATTGAATTTCGCTCTCAGAGATGGACTATAGAGGGTTGTTGGTGAAAAGTGATGAACAACAAAAGGAGTTGCAGGTAGTGACGGATGAATGGTATTGGAAAAAATTTTTTGTTGGAAATTATTAAGTTTTTAGGAAAAATTCTGTATTGTGGTTAAGGAGGAGGTATTTTTTGAGAACATAATAAAATAAGAATTATTTAATTTTGTGATTACATATAATTGGTAAATAGGAGTTTTACCCGTTTTACGTGAAGTGGCGTTATAGTATTATGAAGTCACTTCGCGAAATTCACGACACTACACGTTGTTCACAGAGTGCTACGGTAATACTCGATGAAGAAAACGCGATATATGTAGTGATATGCAGTAGTCGTGAAATGTTTTTTTCGTATCACTAGGGTGGTGAAACTTCATTATAATACATTAATAAATTATAAATAGGGACTTCGGCCTTAGGCGTTGGCTAAAGCAGAAGCTGCTGCAAGTCAAAGGGAAAGGCTCCTCGTGGGCCAACGAGAGAAGCTCCATCACGACACGGATGCGATGAGGAAGTTGTCCAAGCAGGCTTTAGGGGAAGTAGATAATCGATCACCAGGGCGCGCGCTACTTGCGTTTCGGTCGGGTAGGTGCAGATGAAGATGGCGGAGGAGGCGGAGCAACGCAAGCGGTTGGAGAGGTGTGGCTTACGGCAGAAGGAATGTAGATCTGCTTATGAGATTATCAGGAATGAGCGGTCGAAGTGATAGCAATCTTGCAATCTTGCTCTCACTTGCATTTCCTCAACGCAGATATCTAAAACTGATACAAACAGCGTCACAGCGGATTAGCGAGATGGAGGAGAAATATCGGCTGTTGAATAATGAGGCTGAAGTTTTGCGGGGGGAAGAGGGTGTTAAGGAAAAAGCTCTTGCGAAGGTTAGAGCGGAGGCTACTAAGTGAGATAGTTTTGTGGCGCAGTAAAGTTTTTTTGAGAATAGACGTTTTGCTGGAAAATTTTTGGTTTTTTTCAGGCAGCGAAAGATTAAGGAGAAATTGCTGAAGGAATATAATAGTATGACGAATACTGGTCACGAGTTGAACGATGAAGTGGGAAAAATTTGGTAAATTTTCCGGAAAATTTCATGAAATTTTCGGCAGATTGAGCATAATGTGGCCTGTATTGACAAGTCGAATAGTATGATAAAAAAATTGGAGAGAAAATTGGAAGATGTCGATGAAAAGTAATAAAAAAAGGGCATTTTACAGTGTGAACCAAAGCGTTATGCAAAGTAATATTTTCAATTTGTGAAAGTTCGAAAGTCAACAACTTCTGAGATGATAAAAATGTGCATCGATTGACACGAACGTTTTGGGTGAGCCTTGCGGTCTTTAGTTGTATTTTCAAATAGAAGAAAACAGGTATGTCGAAAATTTTACTACGTATAACGAGTTAGCTCGCACTGTAGGTTGATGATGGTATCACCCAAATGAAAAATATCCTTTCGATTACATTTTTCAGCAGAA